ATATTATACAACATCAGCTTCAGGTGGTACAGTGCAGTGATCAAGCCTCTTCCCCATCCATGATGCAGTCTCCCTAGCAAGACATGTAACCACCTGACACCCCACAAAATATTCACAACACCATCAATTACATTCCTCAAACTGTCTTCCACGTCCCTGTGGCAACACTGCAGCTATGTATTTATGCTGTCTAACCTCCTTCCCCACTCCCCCATCCCCACCCCCTCCCAACCAACAGCCATCAGTTGCTCCTCCACATCTCTGAGACCACCTCTGCCCACTTCCCTCGTTCATTCAGTTTTTTAGGTTCCACATATAAGTGAAATCATATGGTATTTGTCTTTCTCCGACTGACTTATTTCACTTAACATAATAGTCTCTAGGTCCATCCATATCGTTGCAAATGGTACGATTTCATTCTTCTTTATAGCGGAGTAATACTCCATTGTATAAATGTACCACAGTTTCTTAATCCAGACATCTACCGATGGGCATTTTGGTTGTTTCCAAGTCTTGTTCTATTGTGAATAGCGCTTCAATAAACATAGGGGTACATATATTTTTTCGAATTAGCGTCTTGGGTTTTTCTGGATAGATATCCAAGAGTGGAATTGCTGGGTCATACGGTAGTTCGATTTCCAGTTTTTTGAGACACCTCCATACTGATTTCCATAATGGCTGCACCAATCTGCAGTCCCACCAACAGTGCACCAGGGTTCCCTATTCTCCACAGCCTCGCCAGCACTTGTTGTTTGTTGATTTATTGATGATAGCCATTCTGATCGGATTACATAATTCTTTTAAACTATGGATAGTAGTTTTTGAATGACTATTCCTTAATTTAGTCAATACAAGTTCTATTGATGGATTCTTGATAGTTTTCAATGAAAATCCTTTTATGTCTATCCCTGGCATTTGTATTTCTGGAAAATAAATTTCTAGAAATAGCGCTGCTGGATCAAACAGTGTATTAATTTAGAATCTTAATAAATGAAAAGATTGCTCTCATTTAAGCATTAACTTTCTTGGCTGAGTCCCCATTCTTTTAACAATACAAGTATTATTATTCTTTATACTCTCTGTCAATCTAATTGGTGAATATGTTTCATTGTTTTAATTTGCATTGAAAATTACTTTTTCTTTTTTTTTCGTTTTCTTTTTTTTTTCTCTTTTTTGCATTGAAAAATTATTAATAGTTAGGGCTTTCTTTATTGGCTAGTTGTATTTTATATTTTATGACCTATACTCTATTCCTGTCCTTGACCCAATTCTCTGTTGCATTTTCTTTATTTTCTTGTTTAGTAAGACCTTGGTATGATATTGAAAATAGCTCCGTGTAATATGCTGAAATTTATATATATATATATATATATATATATATATATATATATATTGTATGCCTTAGTTCTTAGAAGTTTTTAATTTATAGGTAGTCAGATATCTTAACATTTCTTCTGGCATTTTGGTTTTGTTTCATGCTTAGGAATTCCTTTCCCAACAAGATTAATAAGAATCGGATAGATTCTCTGTGTTAATAGTACTTTCTGATTTTTATCATCATCAAGATTGATGATATCCATCAATGTTTGTTTCCATTTTTCTTTTTCCTTTTCATTGTGTTCTTAGATTTTGTTCTCCAGTTTAGCATGTACAACTTCATCAAATACTTTGGAAATTTGTCACAGTTACTGTGGAGCAAAATAGAGTTTCAGGTGGGACCATCTGAGATCCTGTTTAATTGAATATCAGTTTATAAGTACTTATAAACTTGGTGCCACTTTATAAGAAGGGTGACCAGCAGCCCCTGCTTGCCTGAGGTAGTCTAAGTTTAACCTGTTTTCTACTGTAATTTTTGATAATGTCCCTTTTAACTCTCAAAAGTGCCTCAGTTTAGATGAAAAATAATGATTATAAATAATAGTTGTTTACAGGGAATAGTTCTTTAAGATATTTTACTATTAAAGCTCTAGTTGCTTTTGTTTACATTGTTCTCCAATATTTAGTAATATTTCATTTGCTTTTGCTTGGAAAATGTCTCTGATTTGTATTATTTTCACAGTGACCTTGTTGCAAACTTCATAGTTACTTGTGTGAGGTCGTTGGAGAGCAGTGATGTCAGTGGACACCTTCCTACCCTTTATCCCAATTTCCAGAATGATGTTCACTTTTTCAGTATAACATCCCTCATAATCCTTGTTTATCCAATGCTGTTTTAAAGCTGTGGAAGCATTGTTCTGTGTGTGTGCATATGTTTTGATTATATTTTCCTAAATATGCAATACAGGTTTTTTTGTGTGTGGATATGACCAAATCTTTTAACCTGGCCACATAAGCCTTTACCTATCACAGTAATGATTGAATTAACTACTGATATGAATTAATTTGTATTCGGATCATTGGATTTATAGTAGGCACAGTAACACTGTTCTTAACACAGATCCCTGTGGGATTCATTTAATGCCCATCCCTGGTATACTGTAACAGCACTGAGAAACCTAGCAGCTGCTATCAGCCAGATAGATTCTTATCTAGCTTATTGGATCATCTAGGCAGCACTCTCCAGCCTTTCCTTGTGTAGTACTGTGTCGGAGGCCTTGTTACAATGTAGATAAATTGTGCCCATTACCTTTATTGTCTCTACCTACTCTGTTAGAATTACCCATTTTCACGACTGACTGTAAACTGTAACTCAACCCATCTTATTTTTTCTAAAACTATTATTTTACATTTTGGAATGTTTTGTAAAGTTGCCATTTTAAAAGACCAAACAGTTTCCTTTAGTCAAAAATATCTCTCGTACTTGTGAATATATGTTTAAAACCTTAAATTTTATTTTTAAATTTCAGGTTGTTGGTGTGTTTGTATCATAACATATGTGTTTCTCCGTGTTATATATTGATATATATGTCTGACCCTGGTTTTGGTATTTGTTGGTCTCACCAATAAAATATTAATATTTGAGACTATTAATCTGGTGAGTAGGGAATTTCTAATTACGTTACTATTAGCTTTTACATTGTACTATTTGGATAAAGCTATTGTAGGTATTTTCAGTTTCATACTATGTAAAGTGTGGGTAAGTATTTTCATGAAAAGTTTATGCTTTGAAAATATTTCTCTGAACACTAAAATAAATTATATGAATGAAGTTTTTACTGTTATTTTTGCAGTGGGTGTAATAATATAATCAGAAGTATTTTTTTTTAGCCACGTAGTCATGTTTTTTGCTTTATAATATGTAAATATCTAATACATATAATGTTGTCTTTGTTTTTGTGTTTCTTCTGCAGAGAGTGATAATGAACTCTCAAGTGGAACAGGTGATGTGTCTAAGGATTGTTCACAGAAGATCCTATATTCTTGGGGAGAATTGCTAGGAAGATGGTAAATTTTTTTTTGTTTTTTGAAAATTTTACATTTACATAATTGATGTGTTAGTTAGATTTATATTATATAATTTGTTGTATTAAAATCTATGTGTTTATATATCCTAATATTAATATTTTAATGTCCTTTAAAAACATAAAAGTTAAAATATAATTCATAGATACTCTTTATGCTTGGCTAGGTCTTCTCCTACTATGATCTTATTTAACTTACTTTTGGAAGATATATTTGCCTTATTATTTCACTCAGACATAACATTGCTCAGCGTAGTCAATTTTATGCTTTATTACTGATACATGTAAATATCTGTTGTTAAAGGGTTACATTCCCTTTCTCTAGTAAGTCTATCACTACTAAAAGGGGCTATAGAGTTTAGAAATACTCATTTTACTATTGATTATGAACTGTAACTCAGCCTGTTGTATTCTTTCTGACTAAAACCGTTACTTCACATTTTGGGGTATTTTATCTGGAGATACAAAAAAGTACTCTGTTTATATTTATAATAAGTACTGTTTATATTTATTATAATTAATTTTTTAAAAAGATCTTAAGTATCATATGTTGGTAACATTGAAAAATCTTGCCAACAAAAAGACTCCACTGTACCAGTATAGATATAGGGAAAACACGATTTTTTGAGTATGCACATCAGATTATATGCATGTAGGTAGTCCAGTAGTAACTACAAAACCTGGGGAGAATTTCACATTTTATATAGTAGAAGAAAGAACAAGTAAAGCTTCTTTTAACTTCTTATGAGTCAAATGAATGTTTTTTATGGTAGTCTCCTGTGCATATCCTTCTATAGTCCTGAGTTAGTTTGGAGATGTGTATTTATAGATCCAAGGGTTGGAAGGCTCATGACTTCTCACTGTAAAACATGGAAACTGGTTTATCCAATTCCTGATCAAAGTGTTGAGCCTATTATGTTTTTAAGGAGACAGCCTAAGAGGCTGGGAGGGCCAGCTGCCTAGCCTTTGTTAAACAGAAATTTAATTTATCTTACATGTACAAATATAACATGAACACATCTCAGAATATATTTATCTCATTCATTAATAGGGAATCAGTAAGGTATTAGAACCAATCAAAATGAGGATTTGATTTAGAGATTCATATTCTCTACCCAAAATTTATTTGTGTAGCTAGGGACAAAAAACCTTTGCATTATTATCAGCTTTCTACACGTTATCTTCTATTGGTTGAGAGTTGTAAATTAGCCTAGTCAAAGACAAATAAAGGCTTATGCCCCTATGGCACCAGATAATTCTCAGAAGCTCCAACATTCCACTGAAAGGATGTTCACTAATCTCTTTAGTCCATATTAAAAATCTTTCACAGTTTTTCCCTACACTATATCCAGAAGTTAATTTATTCATGTAAACATTGTCCACCTGTCTAAATTCATCTCAATCTGTTTTTACTAATTTCATTTACGTTATTGCTCTCTTTAAGATGCACAATTTTCAATTTTGATGGACCTGAGTTAGTGCTGAAGCAAAACTATTCATGACACTTGTTAAAAATAGTTAGGTAGACTTTATTCAAAGCAGGGCTGTCGTGCTAGGTGTAGGGATCCTGAAGCGGGGTCTCGCAGTGGGGGAGAGAGACTGGGTTCAATTCCAAATAACAACAAAGAAAAGTGTAAATTTATGGCCAAGGAGCAGGGCAGAGGCCAGTGGATGGAAAATTCCTAAGACGAAACACCAGCGGTTATAGGGGATCCTGGCTAATCTCACCTGATAGGATTCTTGCTAAAGGCCGATCAGGATGCCCAGACATCACCTGGGGATGGTGAAAGGTGAGGAGCCCAGTTAGATACAGAGAGTGATCAGGTATTCAGGATGGGAGATTCTGTTAAGAATTTAAGAAACAGAATTCAAAATAAATTTGAAGGTTTAATTGGCTCTATTCAATGATTCATGAACCAGGCATCTCCTATCTGAAGAGCTTTACAAAATGGAAGACTTTCATAGGCAGAAATGGGATGGGACTAGCAAAGAGTGGATTGTGTGAGGCCAGATCACTTGCCTTCAGGGGAAGACAGGGGTCTGGCAGGCAGATGACCTAATTAGTGCTGACCAGGGAATTCCAGGTTGACTGGTTAACGTTGCATTCCTTGGGACGCCGAAACTTCCATTAAATAGGTATGAAGTTTTGGTTTGCTGACATGGGGATTAGCACAAGTGACTCCTTTGGGCCTGTTGTTGAATTTGAGGCATTGGGGAGAATTATTTCTGAATAACTGCTTCTTGTTTTGAAATTGTGTTGAAGCTAATATTTTTAAAGACCAGAAGAACATAGTCCTGACCATGAACATTTAGGTATAAAAGTCAACTTTTATAGCAGGAAAATTTTATAACCAAAAAAACTAAGCAAACACCTGAGGCAAAAAACTGGGTATTGGTTTATTATATTAAAGAAAATCACCTTTGAACGACTCATCGTCTTATTAGAATATTAGAAAACTGATATACAGCTAGTAGGCATTTTGATTGTGTTCTTCAAGGCTATACTTATTCTCAAAGGGGGCTATGGCTTCTCAATCAGTGGTCTCTCTTTTTTTTTTTTTTTTTTTTTTTAGCTGAGCCATCCTGCTACCTGTTGGCAGCTCAGCGGCTGCTCAGCTCGGGCTGGACTCGAACCGCTGTTGCTCAGAGCTCAAACTCTTGAGCGAGCTCTTAACCAACTGAGCCACTCGGCCGGCCCCATCAGTGGTCTCTCAATGTAGCTGAGTGTGAACAATCTGTCAGGAAACAAAGTAAAACTAGACTTAGAGGAAACCTGAAAGGTTAGGACCACTAAGCATGAGCATGTGTAGCTTCCTTGCTTTTCACGTGAATATAATGTTCCATTTTTCAAATGACGAAAACAACCAAGAAAATTGAATCCAAATATGTGCCCTGGATCTTTATAAAGACCTTTAGTCTATCTCTTTTCTTGAAAAATTTTTTTAATGCAGTTCGTGTAACTTAATGTAAGGCCTGGGTTTACATATCTAGGTCTTTCCATTAGCAGGAGGAGAAATCCCCAACTTTACCACCACCGCCCTCCCCATCTTTTCATTTCAGTTCTGGCTATTTCCTTTTATGAGAGAACCTTTTAAAATGGGTCAAACTGCTGCCTTCACATTCTCATGTCTTCTAGCCACCTATTCCCCGCACCCCCACCGCTTTTTTTTTTTAATTGGGGAATTGTGGGGATGGGAACAGTGCTGGGGAATTGGGGGAAGGGGAACAGACAGGTTGCTGTCATTTTGTTCTTTAGTTGAGTTGTGGAGGACGTTGCTTCACTGGCCCAAGTTGGGACCATCATTGCGCTCTTCCTGGGCGAGGCACATCAGCTGCAGGCTTCTGGAGCGCCGCTCACTGCGGCTGCTGGCTACACACGGTAGCCCATGGCAACCCACTGCCACAGGGGCTGCAGCCTACGCCATCGCCAGCGACTCACAGCAGCCCAGCTCCAGGTCGAGCTGTTGTTCAGCATCTTAGCTGTGGAGGGCAGTGTCACTGGCCCTCATATGTGGGATCTGAACCAGGGCCCTCTGGCATCCCAAGCCAGCTCTTAACCATTGTGCCACTAGGCCGTCCCCCCCCCCCCGCTTTTTTTTATTAGTTTCAGGTGTATCAAACAATGCAATAGTTATACTTTTCACGCCTCACAAAGTGACAACCCCCCTCTCCCAGTCCACTGCCCCCCGACATCATACATATCTATTACAATTCCATTGACTCCACTCACCGCACTGTACTCCACATCCTGTGACTATATATGTATTAAATTATAGTTGACATACAATAGTATTCAACTTCAGCTTCATAGCCACCTATTTCTACCTCTCCTCTATCAAAATCGCCCTACTTCCATTAGTGACCTCGCAGTATCATTCAGTGGCTTTCCTTCTCTTCTCTTGATTTCTCTGCTGTTTTTGTTAGAAATGATACCTTCCTTTTGCCATTTTCTCCTGGACAGCTTTAAAAATAGAAAAAAGTTCTTCTATGCCTAGATAGTTTTGAGAAAAGATGTCCCTTTGAAGTAACCTGATGAGTACATGACAGCTTTTTTATTCTGTTAAAATCAATGAGAATGCTTGCTTTTTAAAAAGCATTTATTTTATCTTAGCTTTAGTACTAGACCATATTAATTTATTTTCATAAATATATTCATTCATTTATCAATGCCTTCTGTGTTCCAGGCACTGTTCTAGGTGCTTGGGATGCATGAGTAAAGAAGACAGACACTCTTGCCCTTGTGGAGTTTATACCACGCATTGATATAATGATTACTATATATTTAGTACACATCTGGTTTATATGTGACTTTTTGAATAATTAGATAGCTATTATGTTTCTAGTGCAGAGTTCAGAACATGTCATAACTAGTTGCTCATTTCCAAGTCTCTTGATAGCTGCAGTTAATTTTGTATTGAAACGATGACCATACGTAGTTATATTTTTATCAGAAACATTGAAAGCAATGATTGTTCCTATAAGTTGTTCTTTGCTTAGGTCCTCCCTGGTCATAGATTATACTAGTAGCATTGGGTTTAATGTTCATTAGTACCTTGTAAGTACTAGGGTGCCGTGTGCAATGTAATTACGTACTGTGTTATTACCAGGATAGTCAGTAAATTAAAGCTGTTAATCATGAGGTGTTATGAATGACCTAGTTGTTTTTAAATGTCATTCTGTAAAGATAAATTGTGCCTAGGTTTTCAAGCGAAGAGAAAAGATTTTCCCAGTATGCCTGGCCAAACAAATGGCTGAGGGTCAGCTAGAAGCCGGATGTAGATTGAGTTGAATCATATTATGGTAAAATGTTCATTACGGACTGTTGCCTATTAACTTTAAGGGGTGTGTGTATGATTGTATAGGAAGAGCTACTCCAAATCCAAAATCTTATGTAAACCACTATATAAACTAACCTGAGTTAACATAATAGTTCATCAAGCTGTTTGGCCTTTCCGTTCTGCCTGCAGTATTGGAAATGTATTCTAGTGGGACGTGTGGATGTTCGGGGCTATTGCAGAGGTCTAGAGGAATTAGAATCCGTGGCAGTGGAGCGAGAAGTGCATGGAGTTTGGAGAGGTTGGGAGAATAAAATGAGACTTAGTGACGGATTGATAATGAATTGTGGTGTGGAGAGTAATGTCAGCAATAACTCCTAGCTTTCTAATTTGGATGGATTACAGTCTAAATGACAATCACGGAGATGTTATACTCTGGAAAACAAACAGATTTAGGGAGAAAGAATATGAGTTCAGACATAGGCGGTGTGTGGGCAGAGCGGACTTCACCTTAAAAGCCGACTCCAGTTTAAAATGAATCTGCTTGAACCCTGTTTCCTGGCCCACCTCTGCTGTGGACTCTGGAATGCGCACAGAGGCTTCAGGTTAATCACAAACTACCATCAGTCCTTCCTGTACTGGTTAGCCCTTCCTCTGGGGCGAGGCGCCCTCCATGTTTAACTCGCCCTGGCCCCACAGCCCCGGTATCTGGTCTTGTTCCCCGCATCACCTCTGCATTCCTTTCGGAACACGAGCTCCATTTCTTAGAGGGGCATCAAACAAATGGTCTGGGGGGTGAACTGTGCAGGGATCCACTTCATCCTGCTGCCACCCAGGACTGCATTCTGCCCCATTGGATCTCTAAACCAACAGGCGGACTTGTCTGCATCCTTCTTTGGCCTATCAGCTCCTTGGGCATTTGGGGGCTGCTTTGCGTACTCGGCCTTTTCACTAAACAGGCGTGTTGATTTTGAGGTGCCTTTGAGCCTCTGGAGCTCAGAATGCATGGGCATGGGTGATAATGCCCAGAGACAAGAGAGTGAACGAAGCTAGGTCACTGAGGGAAAGTGTGGAGAGAGAGCTCGGGGTACTTAAGAGAGATGGTCAGAGGAGAAGCCAACAGCAGTGGGGTTTGTGAGGGATAAAGAGAGGGAGTACGTTGTCACTGATGCCAAAGGAAGCAAAATGGTCAACGGGGAAAGGACTGGAAAATGTTCCTGGCATTTAGTGGCATGGAGGGAGGTCATATATCACAGAAATGATAGCTTTTCTAGGAGAGAGAGAAGCCATTGAGCTGAGTGGAGGGACGAGTGGCAGGGGAAGAGCTAGAGATGGCGACTCTATTGCAGCACTTAGAGAAATTTGATGTGCAAGGTTGGAGACAGTATCCTAGCTACTGTGGAGTTCTGTGGAGTTGAATAAAGTCATACACACACACACACACACACACACACACACAGAGGAGGTAGTTATTGGAGTTTTAATAGCTGTAGATACACAATGATGACGTATTGAAATCTATAAACATGCAGCATATCATATATTTAATGACATTGAGCTCCCCTTATATATTATACATTATGGGACTCAGAATTCAGAATAGTTTGTGTTTAATTTCAGAGGAAATGAGCTTAGCCCTTTGCAAACTATTGTTTTAGTTCTCAGTTTTCTACACTAAGAGTACGGAAACTCAGGTACCCTCAAACCACAAATGTTTCTTATTGAAAAGCATAATCAGAACCAAACAATACATTATGAAAAAGATCCTTTTATAACTCGTCCTGGTTCTTGTGTGGCATAATATTATTTTGCTAATCTTAAACTCAGTTGGATCGTGAAGAAGAGACAGCTGGAAGAAAGTTCCAGGTGTCAAATAGTTTACTCATCATGTGTAAGTCTTCTCAGGAATAACCAGTGTTCTCCCTCCACTTGGTGTATTTTGTGGACCTTATTTAGCTATGGTGTGTTTCCAAATTAACCAAAGTTACTTTTTAATTTAAGCTCATGAGAGAAATTTAAAGAACTGAAATGCCTTTTTTGATGTATGATTATAAAAGAATTTAAGATCATTCTAAATATTTCAAACAGCATGGGAAAATAAAAGGAATTCTTTCCCTCTGAATTCCATTACACAGATACTTTGGAGTTGATTCTTCCACATTCTTCCTTATGCATAACAAAAGTGGGTTTTGAAAAGCAGTCAACAATGGGTTTTGTAAGGGAGTAAAATGTGTTGGGGCAGAGAGAGAGAGAGAGAGAGAGAGAGAGAGAGAGAGAGAGAGAGAGAGAGAATATTTAAAATAATACCATATATACAATTTTGAGAAAGAGGATGTGTATTTAAAATATTTCCATATATAGTGCTATTTTGAAACCTGCTTTGTTCACTTAGCAGCATAACCGCTCTTTAATCATGCATAGCTTGTGAAATTGTATAAGCTCTACCTCTTTTTACTTCATTTTGCTTCAGGCCTGTCAGCATTGTCAGCTTAGGTTCTCTCCTTCAACAGTATAAAAGTTTTCCTTGAAGAGAATAAAAGAAAGCAGAATGGATATAAATCTGCTAGTTTATTAAAAGTATTAATGGGATGAGTTCACTTGAACTTTTTTTTTTTAAGATTTTTTTATTGGGGAATTGGGGGAAGGGGAACAGACAAGTTGCTGTCGTTTTTTGCTCTTCAGTCTAGTTGTGGAGGACGTTGCTTCACTGGCCCAAGTTGGCACCATCATTGCGCTCTTCCTGGGTGAGGCAGATCAGTCGCCGGCTTCTGGACGGCCGCTCACTGCAGCTGCTGGCCGCTCACGCTGGCTGCTGGGTACACACGGTAGCCCATGGCAACCCACTGCAGCAGGGGCTGCAACCTACGCCGTCGCCATCGATTCACTGCAGCCCAGCTCCAGGTTGAGCTGTTGTTCAGCATCTTAGCTGTGGAGGGCAGTGTCACTGGCCCTCATATGTGGGTTCCGAACCGGGGCCCTCTGGCGTCCCAAGCCAGCTCTTAACCAACACACCACTTGGCTGGCCCTCACTTGAACTTTTGAGTTATTAGAGTTATTACGGTTTTTCCAGATAGCCCGGTTATGACAGTACAGGGAAAACATAAAACATATTTTCAGAGGAAGGACATGCCCAAACCGGGCTCTTTGCTGGAGATAGAAGCGGGTGTATAAGCTAGGGAAGTGGGTGAAGTAGCTGGGAGGCCAATTTTAGAAAACAGACATATGGTTTCTATGACTTTTAAGGTTTAAAACTTGAAATGAGAGCCTAGGATGTTAGAACAAACCAGAGTACATCATCAAGGGTTGGAGTCCAGGTGGTTACCACCTGGGTCAGCTCTGAAAGATCAAAAGTGAGCAGCAAATTCAAGTAGAGATAAAATCTGAGCAAAAAGGCATAGAACATAGCTTCAGGTTCAAGCTAGGCACCAGGAAAAAACTGAGGAATGGAATTTATATTCACAGGACTGGGAACGACAATTCAACTTCTTGTTCAGATGGGCAGATTATCATAGTGGCATATCTACTGTGTGATCCGTTACTTTATGACAAGAGACATTTATTTGCATTTGTTCCAATTCTAAATATCCTTGGACGTGGGTAAGACCCATAAATATATGTTGCTCCCTGAGCAAGGTGAAGTTGTATAGGTTTTGTAGGAAAGGGCTAGGTCCTTCCTTTAGGGAGCACTTTGGGTCCGGACGTAGGGGTACAGTCAAGGTGCGATAGGCCTGTGATCTACTTTCCGCTTCAGCATTCCTTCCCCTCCTCCCCCATCCCCTGCCATACACACACCATTAGCTAACTTGCCATACATTCATCCCAGGGGATTCAGATGGTGCTTTTTATGCCTTGAAATGCTGCCTAGAAGTATTTAGTTAACACATTCATTCATGAATAAGTTCATAGGATGATTAAAAAAAGAAAATTAGAGGGGGAAAAAAAACCTGTTCCTGAAGGTGGAATAACATGGCTCACCAATAAAGAAGATAAGATCAAGAAAAATAGTCAAAGGCATCACAGAGCTTAAACTCTATCATTATGTCACGCCCCTCCCCCATTTTTTTTTTGACGCAGGCTTACCCTTTTTTTATAAACTCATTAATCTACTTTTCATAACAGGAGCAGTTCAGCAGTGGTGATGGGAATGCGAATGTGTTATTTTCTTGTTTTCTCAGGCACAGTAACCTTGGTGCACGACCGAAAGGGCTATCCACCCTGGTGAAGAGCGGCGTCCCTGAAGCTTTGAGGGCAGAGGTATGGCAGTTGCTAGCAGGCTGCCATGACAACCAGGCAATGCTGGATAGATACCGACTTCTTATCACAAAGGTAGGACGCTCTTTTCCTATTATTCTCATGGGACAGCGTTTTACATAAATCCTGTTTTCATAGCTCCAATAAGTCATAAATGTTTGAACCTATTTAAAAACTGCACTGGTGGGGTGCAGTGAACAGCTCTGCCTTTTGTTCTGAACACTTGTTGGGTAATGGTCAACAATGTTCTGTTGTCACCTGGGAACACGTCAGGCCTTGGTTTTCATTTTTTCATTTTAGTGTCTTTGTAATAACTACTTACCAATATATTTATATTTCAAGTGTTTTCAATTAAGCTTTTATGTCATATGAGATTTCAATATAGTTATTCTTGTGTACAGTGCATGAGTATGTTGGAAGTTGATGCTCAAAAAAGTTTTTATTGATGGGACTATCTGAGCAAAAGTGTTCAGAGACCGTAGCTGTGGGTGTCAGATGACTTTTTCATGTAAAAACAAACTGCATACTTTTAACGGCTGCTCACGGCATAACAGCTGCCATATCCCTTCCCAGCTAAGAGGCTTCATACCTTTTAAGATATTTCAGGCTTTGGGAGAAAAATAAAGAATAATTTCTCACAATATTATCTGTGAACTCCTGACAATACAGTATATGCTCATATATGTGATAAGAGCTTTACCATGTATGCCAGCTGCCATGTAGGGAATATGCCCAAGGTCAGAAGCTCGTCAGCAGCAGAGCTTAAAATCTGAACCCAGGGTCTCCCTCCATGGTGAGCACCAACATGTCCTCCTGGATTTGAGCCTCACTCTTCCCACCCATTCATTGGTGATCTTGAGAAGTTCTCCCAATATTCTCAGTTTCATCATTTGTAAAGCAGGGATAATAGTAGTACCTACTGGCATTGTTGTGGGAATTAAATAAAATAAAATGACAAAGTGCCAGGCACATAGTAAGCATTCAAAGCTAGTTCCACTATTTTTACCAATATGATCCTACATCAAGAACATGATAATAGTGATAATGGGTATTGGTGTCAGTGTATATTTCTGCTTTAATATGTGTGTATATTTCTATTTGAATAATTTTTTCACAAGAGCACATGATGTGAATAACAGCTAGTGGAATTGAGAAGGAACGTTTTTACAAGCATCAAGTGTCAGATTTGTCTGGCTATTTTTTGTTGTTTTCTAGCTGGTGAATAGCATGAAATATTTGAACCCTAAAACTTCACTGGTGATTATATGAGTTCATATTTTAGTGATTATGCATATTTAAGTATATCATAAAGTCAAATGATTCTGTCTAAAAACCACTCCTAATGACTGTCTGGTATAATCAAGATAGCAAGGCAGGTATTAATCTCATTCACTTACTAATTCCCTCATTTATTCAGTAACTCTTTGTTGAGCATCTTTTAGGGGCCAGGCTCTCCATGGTTTCTAGGGCTCTGTAGATGAAAAGAGTTTATATTCTTGTGGAGTGTAGCCTGGGGAAAGCCAGGCCTGTGCATGGATCGGTCAAGGATGTTATGACACAGGTTATATAATAGGTATCGTCAATCAAATGTGTGGAAGAGGTAATGACAGCTCTGCTTGGGTGCGCCCGGGAAGACTTCACAGGGAAGATGATGTCCGAGTTTGGAGTTACAGATGTCTGAGCAGGACAGGAGAGGGGGTGCGTGGAGGGGTGCTTTGTGCAGATTCAACTGCCAGCTGGCGACATAGCTTGGGCTATCGGGGGAGCCTTAGAAAGCGAAATCAGCATGCTCTTTCCTTCCTCACTCCCACCCCAGTGGCCAACTACACCCACTGTTCATGGCTCAGTCTGTCCCTTGTTCAATGGGAAGCATGTAATGCAAGTTTATGCTTGTTAGAATAAACATATGAAATGAAAAACCTCAGAAAATGTCATATCAAAATGATATCACAAGAGAATATTTCATTGGTCACCTAGATTGATGTAACAGAATTTTAACAAGTAGAATGATAGTGTCTATTCAATATATGTTTGAATACCTGTTATCTACCAGGTACTGTGCTGGGAACTGTTAATACATATTCATTATTCAACTCAATGAACTGAAAAAAATACTATCTATTGGCTAAATATAAAACAGTATAAACTTGTGATGAAAAAGTGCAATTTCAGAAACTACAGAGAGAATGCATTCAAACCTCTTTCAGAGAGCGAAAAAGGTCAAAGCAAATATTACTTTGGCAGTTGCTGCCAAAAATCTTTTTTGGAATATAAATAAAAAACAACCATTTTAAGATTCTGCAAGTTCTCTGTTTTCTTGAGCATTCTATGGACAGATAAAGCGTCACTGTGTTTGTTCTTGTCAAATTATTGGTACCGCTGAGTAGAAAGCCTGTCTTCTTTCTGTTCTCCATTGCATTATTGCTGCAGATGGCTTCTAATAAAACATGCAGCTAAAGAAAAATCCTTACTCTATTTTGTTGGAATGTACTATAATTATAGCTACTGGACATTCTCAAGAGGAAATGTTTAAATTGGTATCTTTCTTATGATTGAATAACCTTTAGCGAATATTTAATTGAAAAGTGAGGGGCACCCCAGTCAGGAACCCCTCTCGGTTTGAGAGCTGTAACATTCTGCTCTAATAAAATTATCCTCTGCTACAAACTGTTAAAAAAAAAAGAAAAGAAAAGTGAAATTATGGTATCAGTTATGTATTTTTTTTATTTGATAAGTTTCTACAACTAAATGAAACTGTTCATTATTTCTACAGGTAGATGTTTGCTTTTTCTCTCTATGTGGTTGATTTTTGAAAAATCCAATACGGTATGTTAGTCAAGTAACACTCAGCACTAGATTTCATTGAGAGGCAGGGTGTTGCTTAATTACACAGCTGCTCTGTTCTCTGCCATCACCTTGTCTGGTTGTAGGAAATGAGCGTTTTGATAGAATGGGGTTATTCCAGCTGGGTCTGTACCATTGGTATTTATAAATGCCACAGGCTCTTGTACTGGACTGCTATTGATGCAGACATAAAATTTACAAAACTTTATCCAGAAAATTTATAGTTTTAAAAAATTTATTAAACAAAAATAATAATAATAAGGTGGGCAAGGAGAATAAAAACTACTCACTATGTTGTAAAGTAAATGCCTTGAACATGCATATCCCAGAAAGTTTTTATTAAAGGAAACCAAGAATTATGGAAAGATATTCTTTAAGAAAATGTATCTTTTAAAAATTTTATTAAAAAAAAGAAAATGTATCTTTTATTTTCTTTTTTCTTACATAACAAAGACAGTAGTTTCATACTCTATAATTATACCTTTGCTTATTATTTTTCCCCACACAATTTGAATCCGATTTTCTTGGTCCCCATCCTCTGAGCTCGCTCATTTCCTATCATATCTAGATTGACACCTGCATGTAATGAAAACTACAATGATCTGTGACACTGAAAGCTGAAAGGTTCTCCCTCAGCACTGACATGTTTCTGTCAAAATTCAAAAATATATTCTTAATTATTTTTGGGTACTTAAGTGACAATGTTCTGTTTCTTGTAAAAAATATTGTTTTTGTTATCCTTTAAACATAGTAAGTAGTTTTGAGGTAAATTAAAGATGATTTTCTAAAGTTCCTTCATTTTCATGTTATGGAATGAGAGTAGGAAGGCACTGCTGGGGAAGGCTTTGGGTTATTGTCGAGCTTAGGTGACTCAGTGGCATGAAAGCTGTGTTCATAGCTATAAAATTAATGAGAAGAGGAAAGCAGAGATGTTTTTCTTAAATCTCACAAACTTTCAAGAGCCTGGGATTACAGTGTGATTCCTGGACCCCAATTTCATAATAACTTTATTGACCTTATCTGCGCCTATTTCTAGAGCATACGTATTTATATTGTACTGGGTTATATGGAGTGGTGAGTTTTCTCCAGGGTGTTTGCTTTGGCTTTGATTTCCGTTTCCTTTCAAATTTATGTTTAGATATGTTTACCATTGGGCCGGCCGAGTGGCTCAGTTGGTTAAGAGCTCGCTCAAGAATGCAAGCTCTGAGCAACAGCGATTCGAGTCCCGGCCCGAGCTGAGCTGCCACTGAGCTGCCAACAGGTGGCAGGATGGCTCAGCTAAACAAAATAAAATAAAAACAAACAAACCCCCCCCCCAAAAAAAAACCCAGTAGGTATGTTTACCATTAATTAGTGTTAAGGTTAAAGAAAGGAGAGACCACAGATACCTATGAGACAAATACCCCAAATCCTCCCTAACAGACTACACATTTCTGCTCATGTTTTGGTAGCAGTTCGTTTTGCAGCTTCTTCCTTGATCATGTGACGAATCTTTCTCATATCTTCTCTTTCTCTTTTTTGTGTCTCTACAGTTTATATCTTTTGTCTCTTCATCATGTCTTTCTTTCTCTTTATACTTGCCTCCCTTTCTTAACTCTCCACAGTGGAGCTCTGAAAATGGTTTTCATCATTGGTTGTTTTGTATTTGCTTTGTTTCCTATTCCCTGTGAAATTCTCAGATCAGGCTGCTTTTAGTTGCACAGCTTTTAGCTGATTTTTAAACTGACAAGATAGCAGTCTGTGTCATCATAGAGAAACTGTCATTTTGTTGTACTTTGTATCCCCAGAGCCTGGCACTAGCCCTTAATAAATATTTGTTGAATGCCCAAATGAATTAAACTCTATAGGGCAGTGGTCTATGATTTTTTTTTTTAAAGAGGGGCTAATTGGCTATAGCATTGTAACTAAATAATGGATTAGAAGCTATAAATATATTTTTTTAATAGAACATATCGAGTTATAGACCAGAGCTGATGAACTGAAGTGTCACTTTTTTCTTCACATTTAATGAGTAGTTCTTAGGGACAGCCTTCAAGAGTAGGCATTGAAAAGTTTTCTTTTTAGTTTATTCAACTTTTTTCATTATAAAATAAATAATGACTTTTTTAGAGCTTATGCAGGAGATATGTAATTGTTCATGTGCACACATAAAGATCCCAAAATATGATGTGGAGTATGTCTGCTATTGCAAACTCATATCCTGTTTCTATTCCCTTTTTCCATTAAATAGA